ATTAGATCCACTGCATTTCCTTTGTCTGAAAAATCTGTTACTTTCCCAAAGAAGGCGATCAGGTTGATTTGGCACAATCTACCTTTTGTAAAACCATGTTGTATTTTGTCCCAATTACCATTGACCTCAATGGCCTTAATTACTTTCTCCTTCAATTTTTTTTCCAAGATCTTGCATACTACAGATGTCAAACTAACAGGCCTGTAGTTACCTGGATCACTTTTTTTCCCCTTTCTTAAAAATAGGAACTATGTTAGCAATTCTCCAGTCATACAGTACAACCCCCTTTACAGATTCATTAAAAATTCTTGCTAATGGGCTTGCAATTTTCATGTGCCAGTTCCTTTAATATTCTTGGATGAAGATTATCTGACCTCCACCCCCGCCAATTTAGTCTCATTAAGCTGTTCAAGTTTGGCTTCTACTGCGGATGTGGTAATATCTATCTCCATAGCCTCATTCCCATTTGTCATCCTACCATTAGGTACTAGTTTTCCAAGCAGCAGTACAGATAGCCTCACTTTAGTGGGAGAAGCCACTGCCATGGGAGTGGGGGTAAGTGAGCGGTAGATGTCTGCAGGTAGGCTGTAGGATGCCTTTTACACACCTCCCTGCCTTATGTAGCTGCTTGTATCCCATGCTCTGGGGCTGTATAGAGCAGGGTGTGACATGTCGGTAGAAAGCAGTCCCTACAGGCCTACAGCTAAGTCACCCCCGGCTGGAAAGATCATTCCAGCCAACACATCTGCCAGGCTCCAGGGGCTAAAGCCAGGGAAAGCCTGGTGCAGTGGGGGTCAGGAAGGAGAGGCGCACCTCATGACCCTGTGCCCTGAGCCTGCCATTCTGCCTTGTTTAATTCCTGACATGTTCATCATTTCCCCCCTGCTATCGCTGCCTAGGCAGCAGGTCCTTCTCCTCCTCTGTCCTGCCCCAGAGCCGCCTCTCCCCCCAGCCATAAGCTCAGCTCCAGACTGCATCCCTGGGTGAATGAGTGCTGCTGGCCCTGCCTTTGCCCCTGCCCCAGCTTCTGGTGCTCAGTCCTCTCGCCTCTTCCTTTCCACTCACCGCCATGCCATCTTTATTACTGCCATCTCTCTCCAGGGCCCGCTCAGCTCCAGCATTGGATCACAGCCAGGGTATCAAAAATACTGCTCCTGCAGGACCTTGGGGATGCTGAGCCAGTGGGGAGAGCCCCCCTGGCCTATCTGCTACATAGTTCCCTCCCCCTGGAAGTGTTCATTGCCTCTGCCCCCACAAGCCTCCTAGAATCCCCCCAACCTCCACCCCCAATGCTACCCCTAGGTATTATTAGTGATTTTTAAGAATCCTTAAACTGAACTGAATTAAGATCAGTTTAATTCTGAATCAGAGCATCCACACAGGGATTTAACTAATCCTCTTTAATGTCATGCCTTTAGTTAAATCAGCATAAGTGTCCCAACTGTCCCTGTATAGCTAAGTCCTAAAAGTCAATGCTGCTGTCTATTAATTTCAGGCTGAGGGAGGTGCCTCTTCCCCACTGGAGAAAGGCCCTTTAGGCTGTGGCTGATGGAGAGAAACAAAATGATCATGTGCTGATTACTAGATTCCAGGGAGAAGCACCCGTCTCTGTCCACATCTGCCCTGGGCCCAGAACAGCCAGAACTAACAGAGCTACGGGGAGCACAAGGCAGGTATGTAGGGCAGAACCCAGGGTTATACACTACTGTTAGTTCAGCACAGGACAGAAGGATGGATGCTGTGATATGCACAATAGGCTGGTTCACAGCTGCCTTAGAAACAAGACCGATTAAATCACTCTGCAGCAGTCCAGGTGATGAATCAGGCAGCACCGGGTGCATTCACTATAAGCCCCTAGGCAGATTATCCAGGTAGGAGCTCACACCTGCGGTGGAGGTGTGTATTTATAAGCCAGTTGACCTTGTCCCATGCATCAGTCAGTTCCAGGTAACTGAAAGCCAAGGGAAACCCCCTTCATCCATCCAGAAAGGGGGAAGCAGAGAAAAGAGAACCCCAACCCTAGCTAGGTTGTTACCATTTCCCTTTTGTCTCAGTGGGAGGCTGCAGTGCTGCATTTCTGCCAGCATGGGGGCTGAGGCTACACCCCAGCCACATCCAGGTCCAATCCCTGTGGGGCTAAGATGGCATCTTCCAGCAGCAACAGTGCTGGCCCTGCTTCCCTGTCCTGGACCTAGTGGGCAGCGTTCTAAGGCAAGTGGGGACCTGGGACTATTGCGCAGGAGAATGGGAAAAGGGCAGCTCTATACATGCCCTCACTGCCTGTTTCTCCTCTCTCTCTGCCCCAGGAACTCCAGGGCTGGGGCCTGGTAGGTTGCTGGGGTTGGAGGAAGCTGGATAATGATATTGTCACAGTGACTCACAGGTTCAGCTCGCTTTAGGCCCTTTTCCTGGCCCCCAGTAGCTTCATGTGCCATTCAGAGCCACAGCAGAGCGACAAACAATAGAACCCTCTTACCCCCAGCTGCCAAGAGCCTGGGGGCGGGGGCGGTCTGCCAGCTTTAGCTATGAGAGCGGACACAGCCACAGGCGAGCAAGCTAATCACTTTGGCTCCTACTTCAGCAATGGAGGCAACAGGTTTCTACCAGGCTTACCAAGAGCAAGACGGGCCCCCTGCCAGACCTTTTCCCACCATGGCAATGAGGCCAGGGAAGAAGCCAGCTCACCTCCCAGGAGAAGCATGCAGGCCTGGCAGTTAGAATGGTGCAAATTCAGGACATTTGATATGGAAGACAGAGGATAATATGGACCAATGCCCATTTTATTAGGTTACTTTTCAGATCTGAGCTGCATTTTAACCCTGAATCCTGCTTGTTAAAGTTGCAGCAGTTCAGCACAAGATTTTGGATCACCTGGCCTACCCTTAGCCCTGATTTATAAATACTGGATTTAATAAGCGGCTAGAAACCTAGAAAACAAGACACAGCACGCCCATTATGTATTTTTTTTTTAAAAAAAACACCTTTATTTAACAAGAAAACCCAAAAAGTTATTTACAGTAGTTTTTTGCTCCATAAATTTCATTCAGAGGATTCTTCCCTCCCCTTTGTTGCTTCAATCTCCACAAACATCCAAGCCCAACCAGGAGGGGCTTCACCATCAAGATGCCAAACAGGATACTGCTGTGTGGTGCCCATGCTGGATGGAGCAGTGCATTGTGGGAATTGCAGTTCTCTTCCCCCCCCCCCCTTTTCTATTATATACACCAGCCCCAATGCTTCTCAGCCCAGTCCCAGGAAGTTTGATCCTCTAGAATGGGGCAGAGAGGAAGGAAAACAAGAAGGTGAGAACTCTCCACCCCCCCCCACGAAGCCAATGGTAAAGCCTTTCCCTTCTAGGATGGCCAGGAGATTGTGAGCAAAGCAAGGTTCGCCTCCTCCATCCAGGAACAGATGGGACCGGCACGGGGGGAAAGAAGACGGAAAGAGTAGAAGAGAGAGAAAAAAAAATAGCCTAAATTGATCACTTTTGTCCCTTAAAAAACAAAAAAAACAACCCCCAACACCACACAGCTCTGCAGGGAACATCACTACGAATAGAAACCCAGGCTGGGCAGCTGCCTGGTGCACTGCAGCATTACCTCCTCTGGGAAAGGAATCTGTCAGGACAGAGTCAGGGTGCTTTCCCTGCCCTGCACCACGTGTGGTCCTTTGTACCAGCACACAGTGGGTGTGAGACACTAATCAAACCAGAATGGGAACATCTTATACCCACTGTTAAGGACCGCACACACGGTGTAGGGTAACAGGAAGTCAGATCTCTTGACTTATCTACAGGACATGGGAAGGGATTTCTCCCAACTGCTACAAGTTGCATTGCTCCTTCTCATGGCCCCATTTTGGTCTAAGCAAAAGGTTATTTAAAAAGATGGGGGGGGGGGGGGGAATTCCCTGATAAGCCACCACTTTTCCCTTTATCGCCCCAAATCCCACAATGTACTGCTCTCCTTCCACTGCCCACAAGTTCCCATCTGCATGAGCATCAGGCACGGATGCCAGTCGTATCCTGCTGACATTAATATCACTATTCATGCAACATAATAATTAGGCTAACAACCTAGGATTAGTGTTTCTCAAGATAGATATATAGGTACGTATATATCGCTATTTAACTTACATTTACAGTGAAACAGCAATATTAAACACGGGGATGTTCATTCAACCCATGTTGTTCCCATTTCTGCAGGCTCCAAGAGTTACAATTCAAATGAAAGGTGCATGGCCTGTAACTCACAGCTATTTGGATTCATAACTGCTCCGCGTGCAGGTTGTGGCCCACCCCACCCCACCCCACCCCCCCCCAACCCAACCCTATACTCCCGTTGGCAACTGCAACTATTCACAGGGCTACGTAGGTTTTTTGTTTTGCTTTTGTGGTTGTGGCCACAGAAGAGATTGCAGGCTCAAAGCGCACGAGAGACCCTGCTCTGCGCAACAAGCCAGCTGGCCACGGGAGGTCACCATTGCTTCACCAGTATGGCAGAAACTACATTCAGCACGATGAAAGCAAGAGTTTGAAGATTCCAACCTGCACGTAGGCAGTTTGTTGTTAGCACATCACTAGCTTCACCAAGACTCTGCTTTCCAGGGAATGCCTCATGCAGGCTGCGAATGTTACAACAGCAAGAGAACAAGCAGGCAGTCCACGCCCACAAAGATTCCCTCTTCTGCTGGAAAGAGGGTATTTATAAAAGAAAAAAAAAAGTACAAGTTATTTCACAGTCAAGATTAATCTCCAACCCCATTCAAATGCCCTTTCCTCTGCTCTTGGTCGGTATCCTCCCAGGACATCAGTACATTCCTGTCTTCCTTCCATGATAGGAAGTGCACATCTTCAGCAGGAACGCACGAGAAACGGTGAAGTGTTTCCCAAAGGAAAAAGAGTCAATCAAGAAATGTTTTCAGCATATAAGATTGCTGAATAGCACCTCAGAGATTTTACTGGCAACAACAACATTAGGGGTTTTTGTTTGTTTCAATGGAAAAAAAAAAAAAGCCACAGATTTAAGTTTTCCAGTTACTTTGATCTTTGCCTTTCCACAGGCTCTCCAGGGCTGCTCAAGGCTCTGCGACTAAACTCTCCGTTCACAAAATATATACAAGGCAGAAACAAAGAAGTGGGCCAGAGAGGTTTAGGGGAAAGTCTTTTCCTCCTGGGTGTTCAAAACCCAGACGGTTTCTCTCCCCTTTAGATGTAGTTTTGGCTGGACACTTCGTCTGTTTTTCTCCCATAAAGTCAGCAGGTTTTACACAGCAAAATAGTCATCTAGTAAGAGGTCAGCCAGCTACAAAGCTCTCGCTCCACATCAGCCACTAAGATCCTTCCAAGGAGCCATGCCTCCCTCCTTTAGGCACCTGAAGAGAGGTGATGTCACCAGCATGATATAAGAAACCCAGGGTGGAATCAAAGGTGCAAGGGATGCTTGACAGCTTCCGAACACCGTGACAATGAGAAGGGTCATGTGTCCCCCCAGATGAAGATACTGCAGTCCACAAGGGCTGCTTTGCGGAGGTCCGAATGCCGTCAGGCTCCTTGGGTTCCCTCCTGGTGGGAGAAGGACGTATAATGTCTGGGATGAGGATCTTCACTGCTGAGAAAAACAATAGGGGGAAAAAAACAAAACAAAACAAACACACCTTCAGCCGGCAGAGGCCAAACCCGACAGAACCCTAGAAGACAGGAAGGGTGGGCAGACCCAGCTGGAGCCAGCACAGAGCAGGTTACTTGGAGACTGGGGCAGCCTGGGGCTCCGTGTGCCATAACGGGGGCAGCTGCCCATTCTGCCGCTGCGATTCCAGCTCAGCCGCCTTCTGCAGAGCCACCTCCACCAGCAACTGGAAGCTGCTGAAGTCCTCTCCGAAGAGCTCGGGCGGCGTGGGAGGCGGGGTGTTAAAGAGTCCGCTGGTGGGGCTGGCTGCGTCCGTCCTGGCCAGCAGCGCCATGGTGCTGCTTGTGCTCAGCTGAGGCTTGGGGTGGAGGTCCGGCTCCGTCCTGGGGAAGGGAGCCTGCTTCTCCTGCTCAGCCCCATGGGTGCTCACCACTGTCAGGCTGCTGGCCAGCGGCTGCGTGGAGGAGCAGATCACCTGCGGGCAGACAGACATGGACATCACCTTGGGGGTGGTGGCAGCCGTAGCAGGAGCCACAGGAGGCATCACCGGCCCCCCAGAGCCTGTGGCAGCCCCACGGGGCAGGGCCACGTCTGCGGTCTTGCCCCCTCGGCGAGAGATGGTGAACTGGTTGGGGTCCTTGCCGTCCTTGCGCAGCATGTCGGGGAGGAGCCGTCGCCGGGCATTGATGAACCAGTTACAGATCTGGGGAGACAAAACACAGCTCAGTCAGGTCGTCTGACAGTGCAGTCCTGCGGGTGAGAGGCCAAGGCACCACGGAGCCAGGCAGGACAAGAATGCCTCTTTGCGGAGGGAAAGAGAACAGCCATGACAGGAATGTGGCTGCCCTCCGGCCAGAGCCATGACACCTCCCTATCCTTCACTTCCCCCAACTCAAGCAGAGAGGTGTAAACTTCCCTTCAGCACTACCCTCAGGGAGGGCAGGCTGAGCTGCTGCCATCTGCCCTCCTTCCCTTCGAGTTGCTGATGGCCCAGGCAGGTCTGAGGTGGAGCCAGCGCTCCGGGGGCCCAGGCTGCTCAGGGGAGCTGATTCACCTGGTTCCTGGCCAGCATAGCCCACTTTGGGGCCTGGGCCAGCTCCGTGCACAGCTGGCCTGGCAGATGGGAGGCTGTGCCTCTTTGTGCTGTTACTCTGCTGCCTCAGGGGCAGGGATTTAGGGTTCCCCCCCACAAAGACCATGTTACACTCTGGCTCATGGCAAAACTTTGATACAGGCCGAGCTGCAGACTAACCTCCGTCAGTAACTCTACAGCAGCGATTCAGGACACGGTTATAACACTTGTAGCCCTGCCTCAGACAAAGCTAGAGCCCCGCTGACAAGAATGGTTCAGGATGGCTGCAGCTAACATGGCTCTGAGCCCACTGTGGGGAGAGGCTCAAGGGTCCAGTCCTGCTCCCAAAGCCAATGAGAGCTTTGCCATCCATGCCAATTGGCCCTTAGCAAACCATGTCATTCTGAAACCTGTAAGAACAAAGGTCATTTGAACCATTCTGGGAGAACCACTCACTGCAGTAATCAGATTGCACAAGTTTTCCTGTATGTCCCTCTTCAAAATAAGCAGGAGGAGGGGGGCAGTAAGGTCCAACTGGTTTGGCCCAAAAGACCAGCTGTGTCCTTGTCACCTGAACACGTCTCCTACTCTGACATACTACCCAGTCAACGCAGGGCAAAGCTGAAAGGGAGTCTTCCAAGACGCCTAACATGCTTTCCCTTGCTCCAGATCTGATCAGAAGATGGATAGGAAGTAGAGGATGCAGCATTTGTACATGGCCAACTCCTGCCATAAGACTCACTCTAGCTCAATGGGCCCATACATCCCAGATCCGGAGACAGATTTCCCTCACGTAATGCAAGGACTTTGTTAAACAAACACAGGCAGATTAGCGTAACATTCTTGCCCGCCTGGATGCAGGTCAGCAACACTCAGGCATGGAAGAGACACTCCTCCACATGACTGCTGTTAGGGCAATCACAATCCAAGACTCGCCTGCTAATACAATGTTGACAATGTGGCTTTTAACAGTTATAAAGCTTTAACTTTTTCAATCTCAATGTCGACAATCAATGAATAATTGTCTCCCCCCCATATTTCCCATCGTTGTGACGATTTAAATAGATCAGAGTTCTTAAAAACAAACCGATATTATCCATAAAACTTGAATTCTGACAAGTCTATTTATACGATGCCTTTCATCCCAGCACACTTCTCAAAATGTATATATGTAGGAATCATTTCACACGGACCACTGAAATATGGCTATCTCTGGGGTGAAGTGCAGAGGCTGTTAACTGTGCATAGCAACTCTACAGCTAAGAAGAAGTAGTAAGGATTTGTTTGCTATTTAGGGTTTCCATTTCTTTACAGAAAGATGGCCCTTTCCACCCTTGATCTAATTAATACTGCAGTGCACTATAAAAGTGGTACTAACATATTACCATTTATTTTGCCAACCAGCAGAATTATGGTCAAACTCTCAAAGGAGCATTCAAAAATATGTGCACTAACTGAGCAAGGCTCATGGCTAGATGTTTGCAAGCCCCTTGGAAATGCAGCTGCCATTTATTCAATTTGCTCTGCAATGTATATCAAGATCTAAAACAATAAAAAGCTAGATGAAAATCACTGTGTTCTACATAGAAAGCAATTAGAAGAGTATGAAGCAAAACGACTGATCTCTTCCGAATCAACAGCTGTGCAAAATATACCGCCTAGGACAGAAAAGTTACTGCAACTTGGATCACTATTATCAAGAGCTCTGTTTTTTTGTGACTTTCAGGCAATAGTTTGCATCTGACACTTTTACAAAAGTCACTATTTCATGCCACACAGGCCCTAATCTTGCAAGCTGTGTGAGAGCTCTCTCTGAAGTTCTGCATGTGGAAGGCTTCAAGGATCAGACAATGTCTCTAGATTCTAGTCTGATTTTCTTAAAGGGGCACTGTCACAAAAATCATAGGCCCCATCCTATCCCGTGCTCCCACTTAAGTCATAGCAGGACTGGGACCCATCATTTAACACCCACACTTCTTAAAGGCTATAAGCAATGATGTAGAGTATTCAACAGAAAAAGCCTTTAAATAAAAAAATACAAAAAACCTATTGACTTTGTACCATTCATCTTGTTTGTTTTCCTTTATACATATAACTCAGTGTGGATAGCACAACTAGAGAGAGGAGTTTTCTCTCTGCTTTACCAGGATAATTGCAGGTAACAGATTAGGGCCAGATCCTCAGCTGACGTAAATCTACAGCACTCTTCTGAGATCACTGGGGCTCTGCTAAGTAACAGCAGCTGAGGATCTGACCCCTAACAAGGTAATTAGAGTGGTTATGTTCGGTTTCTAGTCAGCTGCCCTCTGTGTGTTGGACACTGGCACTAGGCTGTGGTGTGCCTGGATTCACACCATACAGCAGTGGTCCCCAACCTTTCTAGTGGGAATAGCACATTGGTATTCCCAGAAGACTGTGGCGGGTGCCAAAATGCCGCAGCCAATTAAGACGCATCACCTCTGAAATGCCACCGGGGGGTTCTCTGGCAGCCACACTTGGCAGCGGGGTGTCCTGCAGGTACACAAAAATGCCCGGCGGGCAGCGCTTTGGGGACCCCTGCCATACAGCATGGCTTGGATTAGACAAAACACACTTCAAGCAAGCATTAGTATCCAGTAGGTTTTGTAACTAACCAGCTAATGCAGGGACCAACCTTAACTACCCCGTTCCCCTTTAAAGGGTAACCCCCAGCTTATTTTTAAGTAAGGCCAGTGGTTTCCCTAGCACCAGTTCTTTTGCTATTCACCATTACAGCACACAGAGCGGTGGGAGCTTGGCAATCACTGACGGTTTCAGCACTTCACACTACTGGCCCCAGACAAGCCAAAAGCAAGAGCTCCCACTGAGGTCCCTGGGAGTTACAAGTGCTCAGTACCTCTCAGAATCAGGCCCCATTATGGATGGCTGGGGTGTGTGTACACACACACACTTCTATGGAGTAGGCCTGTTGGGTTCCTCTAGATTTGTTTGTTTGTTTGGGGGATGGGTAAGGAAGGAGCCGGTGGGGGGTGTTAAGTCAATTTCAAACTCACAGGCAACAAAGCTTTTGTTGAATCTGCAGGTTTCCTGGGACCAGGCACAAGAGTCTTATCTACTTTGCAAAAAGTTGAGATACATGGCTTCCTGGTTTCCCTGGAGACCGAGCACTGCTGCTCTCACATTCCTTGTCTGCCAGCCACTGGCCCCCTGCTCTGAGAGATGGTGGACAGAAATATATAATCACATGCACTGGACTGGGTGGTGGCTGGTACTTAACCCGATTTTTAAGAGACTCTAAGAGCCTGGGCGACTGGCAGCGGTTCAAATGGAAATGTCAAGTCTGAACCTCCAATGCCACCTCTGGGGTGCATTCAGGGCTTAGTACATTTCGTTTTCTCTGTGATTGCAAAGAGAGAGGTTTGCTCAGATCCTCCCCACACCCTGAGTCACTGCCATCACACCACGATGTGACGGGTGCTACCTCAGAGCTCCCCCCGCCATGGAAGGCTGGGGGAAGAAGAGCCACTGGAAGTGACAATGTTAGTACACAAGGCACTGCTTTGGGGCACTTATGCACTATTTGATACCCTTTGTATTATTATTATGCCTACATCCCAAACTTATCATCAACTTTGTCTGCACCAGATAATGGATAGCCACTGGCCCAAGCACCACTGAGCCAGCTCCATAGCTCTCTAGCATCACCAGAGCAGCTGCAGCGTTCCCAAAATGAAAGGGAAGACAAGTTTAGAGAGAGTCACATGCTGAGTGTATGTCTGCCCTGCTGCTAGGGGGTGGGGGGGTGGGTCAGTCAGCCGTAACAAAATACACGGCCAGATTGTCCAAGTGTTGTGCAGAAGCTGCCTACACAATTATCACAAGTGCATGTGCAAAGCAAGTCACTGTGCACATCCAAATGTACAGTTAGGACATCCAGTCACGTGACCGTGCCCTGAAATTAGGTGATAACTGGCACCTGGTTTATTTGAAAAATCTGGCCTTTCAGTTTTTAAATAAGAATAAAAAACAACCAACAACAACAAAAATCACCTTTCAGACTTGAGAACCTTGAACTTCTAGGTTCTGTTCGCCAGCAAGTTGTAAGTGAGACAGAAAACAAATAATGACAGGTTTCAGAGTAACAGCCATGTTAGTCTGTATTCACAAAAAGAAAAGGAGTACTTGTGGCACCTTAGAGACTAACCAATTTATTTGAGCATAAGCTTTCGTGAGACACAGCTCACTTGCATCCGATGAGGTGGGGCTGTGGCTCACAAAAGCTTATGCTCAAATAAATTGGTTAGTCTCTAAGGTGCCACAAGTCCTCCTTTTCTTTCTTAAAACAAATAATATTAGCCGAGTCTTTTATAGGAACAGCAGCAAGACAGAGCATAACAGCATAATCTTGGCTTCTGATCTTCCACTTCAGCAGGGTCAGGCCTTATTGGCAAGTAGCTGGGAGACATGGAAGGAAGACCAGAGCACTACAGGAGTGGGGGCTATTTGGCAGGTGGCACTTTTCCTCTAAGCCAGCACCAGTACACTGGCTCCAAGGAGCCCTATGCTACTGGAGATGCCATCTTCAAAATACTCTGCAAAAATCACAGTTAATCATCACTTGCTGTCATGAAGGATCCCCAGCGCTTTTCACCAGAGTTGGGATATTGAAGGCCAGCACACTGGCCAGATTCCTGGTGGGGGACTTACACTCTGTCCACATTACAAGGAAAACCCCCATCACCATCCTTTGGTTTCTTCTCTCTTTGTCCTACAGGGTTGGGGTGGGGGGGTGGCGTGGCTGGAGGGAGGACCTAGCAGTACAACTCCTGCTGTGATCAAGAGTATTCTCCACACAACGGGAGGGGTATGACTAGGACCGCACCATTCGCAAGGGGAGGGGTGTTCCCCAGCATAATTGGGGTATAGGCAGCTTCGCATGTCAGAATGTCCTGTAGTCTGCTGCTCATCCTGCAGCACAGGTAAGGGGGGGGGGGGGAGAACCTGCGTCCACCACTGGTTGTAGCACAGGCCAGCCTCTCTGGGCCTGGTATACGGAAGCTGCAGCCAGCTCAGCCTCTGCCCCAACAGAGTGATCCTTCCCAGAGCCCCTCACCACCCAGACCCTGCTGAGCCGGGTGCCGTCAGGACATCTCTAGAGAGGCCAAACTGACAGGGCTGGAGCGGGCACATCCCACAACCTAGCAGCACTCAAACTCACCTTGCAGAATGCCCCCTCCCCACCCCCACCGGTAGGGATATGGTTTGCCACAGAACGCACAAATCAAGCCTTCCAGGGGGCAAGAAGAGGGAAGTCTCTCAGAGCGTCACAGTCCAGAGAATACTCATGATGCTGGGACATGTCCGAGTTGGAGTTCCACGGCAAGAAAAGGAAAGTGTGGGGCGAAAGAGCCCCACAGAGACAGGTCAGCCCTGAATGTGCTTAAATATCACCCAGCAATGGGCTTTAGCTCTGTTGGATCATAGGATTGGGGCCCCTCCCCATCTACAGCCCCATCCCATTTAAGTTTGGGGGCTGGCAGCCAGCATGCCTTAGCTGATCTCAATTGCCATCATACCACACAGGGAGACAGGGAACAGGGAGGGACCCAGTCAAACCCAGCACCTTGAACTGCACCCCAAGATGGCTAAGAAATCAGTGCTGAGTGCAGAAGAGGCATTAATGCCCCAGCCTCCTCCTGCACTAGCCAACATTTGCCTTCAGATGTGCCTCATGTGAATCACTCTGCAGTGACCCTGCGGGAGTGACCAAGGCATGGGTCCCCCTGGCACAGCCCACATTCAAAAAGAGGCATCGTAATCTTCCAGCCTTGCACAGATGGATGGAGAATTGCTCTAGGATGCTGCTGCTCCCCATGCCAGCTTCCCCAGACTAGGTTACTGGGACGAAACCATCACACTCATTCTGATATCCGAGTCTCTGGAGTAGCACTCTGCCCACAGTAACTCCCCAGCTGCGCTGCACCCTCTTCTAATGCAGTGGGTTCAGATTCAGACCAGGTGCGAGTGGGTGTCACTGCACAACCCTCCAGTGGAGCTGCTGCTGCAACTAAAGTCTAATCACATTTCACCTGTCTCCTCTAGCAAATCCAGCAATTTTTCAAAGGCACTATTTGATAGGTGTACAGGTAGCAGCATCTGCCCTTTAACTTAGCACTCATGAGAGCAATAGTCCAGTAGCACTCACTAGAAAAACCTTATAAACAAATAGGAATAAGACCCCAAGGCAATTTTTGTAAGAGTAGAGGTTACACCCTGTCCAAAAGGCCAACCCCGCCCCCCTTACAGTTTTGCATTGTGGTTGCACTCCACTGCCACAGAACTGGGCAGCAGGTGTTGGGGTTATGGATCACTCTGGGGTCTTTCAGGAGGAAAGGTGCTGTACATGTAAAAATAGCTTTGCTGCTTAACCTCTCTGCCTCAGTTTACTGCCGTAAAATGGGCCCCCCCCCCCAATACCTACAACCTGTCTCACGGGAGTGGTGCCACGTTTAAAGCATTAGAGTACGCAATGCTCTTGGAGATCTTCAAACGAGTTCTCCTTGCACAATACAAATGCAAAGCACTTTTCTGCCAAATATTTTTAGGCAGGGCCAGGTCCCAACCCCCATGTGCCATGCATTTAAACCCCCTCCGGTCACCAGAAATACATCCTCTTGGGGGGATAGGAAAGGTCGAGAGAAGCTCTCACCTGCAGCACAGAGAGGTTGGTCTGTCCAGACAGACTGAGTTTCTCTTGCTCAGATGGATATGCATTGAACCTATGCTCATACAGCCAGTCTCGGAGGATCTTCACCGATTCCTTCGGGAGGTTCCCCCTTCTTTTCCTCTTATTCGACTGCAACAGGTCCAGAGAGGCAGTCCCATCATCTTCTCCGAGGTCACTGTCTGACATGGTGGAGCTGCCTGCAGACCGCTCCTGGTTAAAGCCTAGCAGAGGGAAAACAAAACAAGGCACAGGTTATGCCGCATTCCATTTTGTGACTGGCCTGATGCAAAGGGGTTAAATTAACAAGCAGTCCCTCAGCTGAGCCCTGTTTTGGGCAGAATCCCAACCTTGAGAGTGGCTCAAAGATCAAGATGAAGCCATCATGTTCAATCTAGTCCCATGCAGACCCCAAACAGCAACTCAAAGGCACTGCACCTCCATCTCCTCCTTTAGAGGGGTTTATTGCCTTGTATTCCCCACAGTAACCGGTTCACATTTATAATATAACCCCCTTAGAGGCCAAAATGTGAAATAAACAGAAGTTACAGGGTGCTCTGTACAACAGACCATTTGTTCAGAAGCCTAACATTAGTCCCCAAGGCCCTGATCCTGCAGATTTCACGTGCTTCAAGCTAAGCATGGGCTTAACACTCCCATTCCCCTGGAACAACTCAGTGTATTAAGGAGTTAAGCACACCTGTAAACTTTTGCAGGATCAGGGCCCAGCACTGGCCGCTTTAAGAAAACAACACAAAGCCAACCATGCATTATGAGTGTCTGGACTCCAAGGAATGTGCCAAACTTGTGTTAGTCAGCCTCACAATTCAAAGTTGTGACAGCAGTTAGAAGAAATACCCTTTGATCTTGCATATAATTCGAGGTAAGACTTTGAATATAAATCTAAACCCCTCTGCCTACCCTGCAAAGTGTTTACAGAAGCCCATTGTCACCCCCTGAGCGTGTTAGCCCTCGGCAGAGCGCAGACATGAGAACGCTCAAAGTCATTTCTTGGTTTGCTTTTAACAAAAAAAAGTCTCCAAGCTCATTTGCTACTCTCCCTCCCCCGTGCAGCTGCAGACATCTTCGTTAATTGATACACAACCCAATGGGCAAAATTCAGACTGGCCTAAGGTTGATTCCTCCAGTTAGCTCATTACCCTTCCCGGCCATGTGGCAGAGTTGGTCTGGAGATGGCATTCAAAACCGCGGCGCTGCTCTCTGCTCCCCAACACGCACGCACACCACAAAGCAGATTCAAGTCCACTGCCATGCAAGCCCCTTCCTCCCTTCAAGAGGAGAAAATGGCAAAGCTGTCTCCCTAATTGGAAAAGCAAATGGATCCCTGGCCGGCTCCTGCCTGCAGCCCTGAGTGGCCCAGGGACCACGGGGAGCTGCTGGCTACGTGAGAGACAGAGAGGCCCTCTGCTGTGCTCCGCTTCAAGGCGCTCTGTAACTGAGCCGGGATGGAGGAGGGTCTGCTGGTTCCCTTTGGCCGAGCTGCCCCCACCCACCACCAGCTGCCCAGGGGAAGCGCGACCCAGCCCGAGGAGAAATCCAAAACACCCAGGGGGGCGGGGGGTTAATAGCAGTAACAGATTTAAAACACGCTGGTTTGATCTAAGTTCTGCCCAGCCCCTCCACATGCAAAACCCCAAACGCTCTGCAAAGCCGGGTTTCCAAAAGTCCAACATCTTCTCCAGCCAGCGGCCGCGCCCCCGCACAAAGGGAGTGCGAGTGGACACACCAGCCCGGGCAGCTCCCGACCGGCGAGACCCTTCAGACCCCCCCCAGAAACTCCTCTCCTCCGCTTGGATTCAAAAGAAAGAGACACACACAAAAAGGAGAAATCACGTGTCCCAAGTAAAGTTCCCCCTCTTGGTAAGAGACCAAAAAAAGCAGCCAAAGCAAAATCAAATCCCCCTTTTTCTTCAAAACCTGAGTTTATAAACGAACCCCCAGCTCTGGGTGCGGGGAGGGGGCTGGCTAGTTTGGAAAGTTGCGGGTTGAATCCGGGTGCAAGGCGGGGGGCGGGGAATTCCCCCTTTCTTTAAATCCCTGCCTCTCTCCACACACACACACACACAAAACAAACTGGGACTCCATGTTTTCTGCCTGTTACATCTGCGATCTTACCCCCAGACCTCCTCTTTCTCCTCGGCCCTTCCATGGCATGGGGAGGGGCTCCCCCAGGTCCAGCTGCACCCCTCCCTCGGTAAAAAAAAAAAGGGTATTCCCCCCCCAAAAACCAAAAAAACACGCCCAGAGGGGAGCAGAGCTCGGAGGGCGAGGCAGAGACACGGAGAAAGTTTCTCTGTCTCTTTCCCGGAGTGACAGATGCCTAGACAGAGTTCTCTTTGTTCCAAAAGAAACAGGAACTTGCGCGGTTCCCCCCCCCCCACACACACACACCACCACCACCTAACCTCCACCCCCCCTTTCTCCAACCCCCCCCCCCCAGCTGTCACTTTACAAGCTCAGCAAACAACAAAAATTCCCCGCAAACATGGATTGCTGAGTTAAGACGGGGCTGGGGCGAGAGATTTGGAGATCCAGAGGGGATAAAAAATCCGCAAAGAGGAAAAAATACCCTGGTGGGTTTTTTTTCCCTGGAAGGGGGGTGCTGTGCAAGAGGATCATTCATTCGGGGGAAAGCAAGGCAAGGGGAGGCATGCGGTCGGGTTTGCTGGTCCTCCTGAAATGTTGCAAGAAGTGTGATCAAACAAAAGATTCCTCCCCCCTCCCCGCTCTCCATAGTTCAGTGCTTTGAAGGTATTTTTTCCCCTCCTCTCCCCCCAGTGCCTTTTCTTTTCAGGGTGATGCAGGAGTTTCTGCAGAGTTTGGTGGCTTCCTCCAAACCACGAGGATGGAGGGGGGGGGTTGCTGCCCCCCAGGCAACCAGTACATGGGAGCCGGATGGGCAAGCCATGCTTCGCCAAGCACAAAGTTTTCCCGAAATACACTCAACTTCCCAGACTTACTTTTCCTCGTCGGTTTCATGTCCCCGCCCGGGTTCAGTCCAGCTCTGGGCCGGAGGGGAGTCCGCGCAGCTGATGGGTGCTCCTGGCTCGGGGAGGAGAGTTGCCCCCCTCTCCCTTTGTGTAGCCTGCGGAGGCTTTTAAAGAGGAGGGGTCTGGGGCTGTTGGTTGGGTCTTTAATACCTGACACGCTGCCTGACAGCTCCGGCTGGAAGCCACCTCTGGGGCTTGACGTCAGATCCCCCCTTCCCAGGGCTGGTTCACAGTTTTAGGGGCAGCAAAGCAACCGCAGGCAGTTCGCCCCCCATGAGATCTGAAATGTGGGGGAGGGGAGAGGAGGAAGGGTGGGTGGTACACGGCAGAGAATCTCCTCCTCCCCTCTCTCTGGAGAATGCAGAGGGCAAGTTGCCTCCTCTAGCCTGTCAGAGAGGAACCACCAGCCCACTCGTGTAGCCGCTGCTGCCCAAGCCTCGGTGCAGAACATTATACAGATAAAACCCAGCAGAAGAGCAGTGTAAGCACACGAGGTCTGATTGTTAGCGGGCGCCTGCGAATCCGGACTAACTGCACTGGAGCCAACCCATGTAAACTAGCTTGAGAGGAGGAGCTCACAAGGTTCCGATGATAGCTGTGTTTTTGGTGCTTAGTTTATGCAAATCGTGGGCAATTTTCAAGCTGTATATATTGGGTTGTTTTTAATGGAAAGCATTTCTTCCCAAAGCATGCTCCAAACTTTTCAGCCCAGATTTTCCTCCCATCACTTCTCGGTTGGGAGGAGGCGGTCTCCTTCAGGCCCCGATTCAGGAATGCACATGCTTCATTTTAAGCCCCACAGCAGTCCCCCTGACTTCAAGACCATTACCCGTGTGCTTAAAATGAAGCCCATGCATAACTGTTTGCAGCAGCAAGGCATTTAAAGCAGGAGAAGCTGACAGCAGCAAAACTGCATCACACAGCTTCCTTCATCTCTAGGCCTATGAAGGCCCCAACCCTGCAAGGGAATCCATGCGACTCTTTTGATGTCACTGGGGAGCTGGGTGGAGCAGCAGGTTGCTGTGTTTCAGGAGTAAGGCCTAACTTCTCAACAACAAATTCAGGGACAGAATCTTGCAAAAGAAAGTTGAGTAAAATCTCTCTCTGTAAAAACAGACCTTTTTCTTTAACTGAATAGTAAAAACCTGGCCTTCGGGGGTTAGCTTTGTCACTTTATATCCATTAACATGGAAAATCAGAGCTCTGTGTACATCACTGGATTGCATTAAAATTAAAGGACTTTTGAAAAGAAAGACCAGTGGCAGGGAGTCATTAGCAAAGCTGGGGTGGAGATGATTTTCTTTTTGTAAAGACTCAAGAGTAGGCACTTGTTAGCCATGGATGTTTGACAGGATTATGGAATGGAATGTGGATATGAGACCTTTGGATCTCACTTTGGCCGGAGATCTGTGACAGCCATCACGGGACCTGCAATGCCCACATTCTCTCCCTGGCCCAGGAGGAGGTGGGTAGGACGGGCGAGCTTTGGTGTTGCACTCCGATGGGGATGGCGTGGAGGGGCTGATTCATTCTAGTTATGCTGTCCCTGGGTTATTTGATTTGTTACTGGGATAAATGATGAGTCTGTTTAATTACTGCGATATTTTTAAAAGATTATCAAGGGCCCCCAGAGTATTGAATGGGCATTCTCTTATGGTAGCTTAATAAAAAAATAAATAGAGACCCAAAGGTGAAGCGATCACTGCAAGTTTTGCTATGCCTTGTGACAGCAGTCAGATTAAGGCCATATCTACACTTAAAACGCTACAGTGGCCCCGCTGCAGCTGTGTTGCTGAAGCACCTCAGTGTAGACACTTACTACAGCGATGGCGGGGGTGGAGGGGTGTCTCTCGTCGGTGTCGTTAACCCACCTCCCGAAGATATTGACTGAAGAATTCTTCCGTTGACCTAGTCCTGTCTGTACCATGGTTAGGTCGGTTTAATTGCATCTCACAGGGGTGTGGATTTTTCACACACCTGAGAGACGTAGCTCTGCCAGTGTAACTCTCCAGTGTAGAGCAGCCCAAAGGAAGACGTATGTTTTGACAGGCTACACACATGGATCGTCATAACCTCATCTACCAAGATACAAGACCATCTCCACACAATACTATTCTGCTATGCAAGCAGAAGTTCTCCTTTAGCCTAGGGCCCAGATCTTCGGGTCAGGCGCCTAACTCCCATTGTGCCTATATACCTTTGAGGATCTGGGCCTAAATTGCTTGTACCCTTTGAACCAGGAGGCCTGGGATTCTATCCCTGCTCTTGTACTAGGTGTCCAGTGGCCAGCATAGCAACTATGTTGAAGTCCTGGATGGTCAGAGGTTTTGTTACATTATCATTTGCCACCTTCCTGCCACTCAGCAAAAAAGAGAACCAGCGATGGTCTGAGTTCCCTGCATGGTACACCCACTGGGACATCTCAGAACTGTAGCGGGCTGTTTAGAGCTCAGTTTATATTGAGGGGCTGACCTACAGCAGCAGCAGCGTGAGACTGACCTCAGTGGTTTGGGGCCTAATCCTGCACAATGTTGCTCCCCTCCGTCTGTGGCGCTCAACACCTGGCAGGATCGGGCTCATTAGGGAAAGAGTAAAAATGGACAAGCCGTAAACTTGCAGCTGTTTCTGAAGGTCTGGTTCAAAGCTTGTTCAGGGCAGCAGCTCATGTAAAGCCAACCCTGCACTTTTGAGGACAGTGGGGTTTTGCCATTGGTTTCAGTGGGAACAAGATCGAGGCCCGGCCCCTAGTCTGGAGTTTGGCTGCCTAGGGATGTGCAAACTGAGCTGATTGTCCTGAATGTGCTGCTGACTGGTCAGTCTGGGAGTGGGGAAGGTGCTGAGTGATTCACTGAGGGCTACACGGAGAAGGTCTGGAAGGGGAACCAGAAGATAGCAAAAGCCTTCTCCTGAGGAGTCCTAGTGAGTCAGGGAGGGCGGTGATGGGCAGTGATCGGCAGAGGGGAGAGAAGGAAATTCCAGCTGTTGCATCGCATCACAAAAAAAAGTCCCTAGAAATGTAAAGTCCTGAAACATAAAGTTGTGTTGTAACTAGGACAGCTTGTCTCTCAAGTGGGGGGTGGTTGTTCTCTTCTTCTGTTGACCGAGCTACTGCCTCTCGGAGAGATGGGTTAGCAAAGTGATGGAAAAACCCCTTCGGCCAGCATAGGAAGCCTTTACCCTACGGTGCTACAGCAGCACAGCTGTAGTGCGGTAGCTTAGGGCAGTGGTTGGTGTGCAGGGAAAGCCCCTGGTGGGCCGGCCGGTTTGTTTACCTGCCGCGTCCGCAGGTTCGGCCGATCGCGGCTCCCACTGGCTGTGGTTCACCGCTCCAGGCCAATGCGGGCTGCAGGAAGCGGCGCGGGCCAAGGGACATGCTGGCCGCCCTTCCCACAGCCCCCATTGGCTTGGAACGGCGAACTGAGCCCAGTGGGAGCCGCGATCGGCCGAACCTGCGGACACGGCAGGTAAACAAACTGGTCCGACCCGCCAGGGGCTTTCCCTGAACAAGCGGCGGACCGGCTTTGAGAACCACTGGCTTAGGGTATGTCTACATTGGCAGAGTTACAGCACCGGCAGTTACGATGCCGCTCAGAGAGCGCTGAAGGGAAACCGCTGTTGTGTGTTCACACTGTCAGCTGCCTGCGCAATCGCGTGTTCACACTTGCGGCGGTATTCGGAGCAGTGCACTCTGGGCAGCTATCCCACCGAGCACCTCTTCCTCTTCTGTCTCTCAGAGCTGTGGGAAGGCGGAGGGGATCGCAGGGAATCCTGGATCCTGTCCCAGTGCCCCGTTATGCATTGCTTCGCATCCCAGCAGTCCCTGTGCTTCCGTCCGCATTTGGCGCCATCTTTCAACGGTTTGTGCACTGCGTGCTCTGCCTCTTCGGGCTGCGGGAATGGATCCGGCACTGCTGACCAATATGCTGCTTGCTCTGACCCACACGTCATGAGTGGCAGTGGAGTTATTCCTTAAACTACAAAGGCAAGAGGAGTTCGACATTGATCTCGCAACGTGTACTAGCTAGACACG